CACCAAGAGTCTGAACTTAGTTTATCATATAAGTCTGAACTTAGTTACCTTCTGATGAGGTCTGCAGGTAAGCCTTCCATGTCGAACCTCCATAGTTTATCATAGACGTCTGAACTTAGCTCTATTGCATACTTCCCCGGCCAGAAGCAACTCTCAATGATTCCGTCTGCGTTGATGAGACTTTGGCGTGCACGAGCGTTGATCTCCATGGTGTAGCGGAAGTGAGGATGCAAAAGTCTATAGATGGGATGCATGGCGCTTAGTTGTCTGTTTGCCGCTATGATGTATGGCTCCATACAACAGTGAGTCCTCAGCCTGTAAATTTCTCCATTTCTTTACTAGTTAGTCAAATAACATTTGCATACACATCTTGTATATGCTTATAGCTAGATGCAAAAAGTTTAAACCAAATTTTGCTGTCAACAAGAAACCATATTTTGTAGTGAGGAGTCTTTATTCAATACCAGTGAGAAATAAGCTGGTGATAACCGGCGTCATGAGAAACAACATGTGTCTTAGCAAGTTTCCATAGCCAGCAAGATGTAGCATCATAGCCTGGCGTGAAGACCTTCTTCCATTGGGGCCTGTTGACATCTTGGGGGCGAGTCAACTCAATGGCAACAGGCCTCAATGTGCTATCATCGCTGAGGAAGAATAGTGTCCGAGAAGCATATAAGGTAGTATCTTCCAACTCTCTCACTTTGTTCACATACGGTAGAAGCAAATCGTGATAATCCAACACGAACAATTTCTTATTCTTTAGAGCCTGCATACATGCATCCATATTATTATTATTTTTTTGAATGGACATGCATCCATATCAATATTCATCCATTAAGGAAAATCCTCCATATGTTCGATATTAGTCTACTTACCTCATCAACTGACATGACTCCTCTGATTTCTTTTTCCACAACTTCCCTAGTAATGAGTGAGTTTGGATCACCATAGACGGCAGGGTCTAGTTTGCTTTTCATCGGCCACTCCTGGAATAACAGTGTCAGGAATTTATTTGCTTTAAAAACCAAGCAGAATCTCATTTTCAACATGGATCTTAATTGCATTGTTGGAACAAGCAGAACAAAAACTATTAGTAGAGGCATATACCCGAACTAGCTGAATGCTATACGGGTTAAGGCCTGCAAGCGTCTGGCGAGCAAACTCGTCGTCTCGGATCCATGAAAATCTATCCTCTGAATCAATTGGATAGATTGTAGGTGGTAAGTATAGAGTTGGAATAATGGAGAATATTTGATGGAAGAGAGAAGAAGGTAGGTACTGTTAAGGAGAATAGGGGGATCAAACTGGAGAATATCATCTTGAGCTTCAGCCATAGCTTTGATAAGTCTTGGGATCATAGGTAAAAGGCCAGCATCCTTGGGAAGCTCGAGGCCTACCTCAAAGAGATCTTCTATGGACTTGAAGTGTGGGAAGGGCAAGTTGGGATCCAACAGAGCACACTCTATCTGTGGGAACACGGAGGGAAGAGCTGCCAAGATGGTTTTTCCCGTGAATGAACTTCCCTTGGCTGTTGAGAACTCCTCGTCTCTCGGGACATAGAATTCCCCGTAGCGTTTCTCTGAGGAAGGGTCAGAGTCGCACCGTTTGCGACCAGTCTTGCCGCGCCTTGGGTACGGATGAGAGAGGCCTCCAATTACGGGACGGGCAAGCTCGGGGTCTTTGTCAGGGTCACCCAAATCGTTGTATACGTCATAGTCGTAAACCCGTTCAAACGTGGCGAATTCACCAACTCGCTCGCGGTTCTTGCCTTGTAAGGTCTCCAGCTCCTCCTTTCGCAGCTGTTTAAGAGGCTCCGGGGTTTCAGAAGGCAAGTAGGACTTGTTGGAGAAGAATATCCGCTTGGCTGGGTCAACGGACTTGGGGGCCACCCACGACTCACATGTGAACTTAACAGGGCCGCTAGGTAACTCAAGCTCCACCTCCTTGATGAACATCTCTCTGTGGTGCTGGTTTTGAACCTTGATGGCCTCCACGGCTCCAAAGTCTTCGGGCATGTCAAACTCACACTCGTACTTCTCATCAGGGGCTTCGAACCATACACGTTGTGCGTAGTCTGCTACCGGATCCTTCTCCGTCCCTGACATATGTGTACGTACTTGGTTATAATTATTAATTTCTCTATCGTTACCATGATCAGTTGAGCCATATTGCATTAACCTACGATCTTTACTACACATAATGAATATATATGTACGAAACAAGGAGTAGACATTTGCTAGGTAGCTTATCTTTAGTATTTTTAAATAATGTGTGTTGACAAAATATGTACTCACCAAGGTCAGTCTCGGAGCTTATGAGCTCCACGAGCAGTGATCTGCCTGCCAGATCCGTAATGTCATCGAGACCTCTCGACCAAGCTAGGCCATCCAGCAACCCTTCTTGGGCCGTTATGTATCCCTTTACTTTGATTTTCTTAACGGCTTGTTTCACTATTTGACCTTTCTGATCAACGTTAGACCGTGATGCCGTGACCTTACATCGTCCTCTGAGATTTGGACGACGCAGCTTGTCTCGATGTCCTGCGGAAATGGGGTTGATGAGTGGTGATGGTTTAGGGAACAGAGAGCTGAGGCTCTTTGCTATGTTCAAGGTCTGGAGACTCGACGATGACTCTCCACAAAACATCTTTACCTGTTTGCTTACCTTCCTCTGCATCCCCGAGTCATCTATTTATACACGTCTAAATATTATCACGTTTAATTGTCCTTCCAAAATATCGAAAATGTGAAACCCTCAATCTCGTCTATACTTTTTTTTTTTTAATTATTTTTCTACTTTATTTACCGGCCGGTGCGTTCGTCACAATATTAATTTTATTTTTAGTTTTCCACTAGTTAAATAAAATTTAAATCGTGAGTTATCGCAATTTAGATCCACCAAGATGCATTACTCTAACATATTATATCGTTACTATAGGTGTGTTGGATTGGATAGACACCAGTATCCAAGAGACTAGTGTAATGGGTAGAGAGCATTGATATCAATAGTGACAATCTCAACTTCTAATGTGTTTACGTAGACGATAGAAGAGAGTTTCAAATCAATTCTCTGACCTTACACCACACAAGTCATAGGCGGAGAGTTGTTTGAGAGGGAATGCATGTCCATGGGGTAACTTGTTCCATATGATATTTATGAACTTTTATTTACAAGTTTCATGATTGGTAGATATTCCGGATAAAAGCTTTCGTAATGACCACCCAATGCCGTGATCAAATCGGCTTTGCGTTCGTTCTGCGGTTTAATTTTCTTCCTTTTTCTTTCCATATTNTCACCATTCTTTGTTTTGGTAAACTCCATATCGTTCACGTTCACTTTGGAATTAAGCTTATATTTGGTCCATCTTAGAGATATATATTTTGGTTTTTAATGTTAAGATAGGATAATTACAAGCTACAAACTACTCTACTCTACCCAATACAAGAACTCAAAAGATAGGAGGGTACCCAACCCATTCTGAAAATCATAGGAGACAAAAATATTTTTAAAGGAAAATAGATATTACCAAAGAATCTTTGAGTTTCTTGGCAAAACAGATAGATCTTCATTATGATAGTTAATCCAGAGACATTTTTGTTTTTATTTTTATTGCATAGAAGTCCAACACGAATGAAATGTTTTCTGATTCTGCTCATTTGCATTTCAAATTTGAACGAATAAAAGAGTGTTTTACCCTCCAC